TACCTGCAACTCTGCTTTTCCTCTCAGCTCTAATTTCACTCACCGTGGGAAGTTGTAATTACTGCATTAGGTTACCGTGGCGACCTGGACGGAGTGGCCCTCACTGTCCTGTTCTCAGAGCTCTGAACCCACAGCTGAAATCCTGTAGCTGAGGCTGAAGGAAACAGTGGAGGGATTAGAATGACATGACAGACAGAAGACAGAGTTACTGAGATCTTGATTGGTCAATCAACATCTCACTATTATTCATTTTTGACAGATGTCCCCTAGAGGCCGGAGACAGGGCTCTGGGAAGCAAGTGACGTGTCACCACAACACCTTGGACATGTTGTTGTATTTAATGTTTTTTTTTTTTGGCTCAGTAGTAAATATTTTAATTGTTTTGTTTGCTGGTAGTAAAATCACCTCCATCTTCTTTATTTTCCAGGTAAACACAGACACATTCGGGCTCAGGCTGGAGGGCTGGAGGAGGATTAAACAGTACACGAGCGCCCTCCAGTGGCATGTAAGGGAACTGTTGTTGGTTTAACATAATCTGCAAATGCATAAATCTGTTAGAAGTAACTGATTTGCAGCAGCGTGAGTGACAGGGAGAAGAAGGAAGTCCAGTCTGTGACTGAGGATTGACGACGGACTCATAAAGGTCCAGTCAGAGTCCAGCAAACAGACCGTAAAACTCTCAGATTTACAGGGGAGCCGTGTAACCCTGTGAAAAACAAACAGGAGACCAAATCCAGTCCTACCTGGTCGGAGTTTTCACCGCAGTAAATACCACAGACAAAGGCCTCAGCAGTGAGATCTGGGTGAGGTGTTTGATTTTCCAAAGGTCACTGAGGTCATATTTTTACACCACAGCAGTAACGTATCAACAGACCTGTCATGTGTTTGAGAATGTAAATATTGTAAAAAAATAAAATAAAATAAGTAGTGCCTTTAAGATTATTTTGCCAAAAAGGTTTTTCTATTTGTGACTCATTTTGTTTTGTTTTTATATTGATGTATTATTTTATATAATACTTTATATCAATTCAAATCCAGTTAATGAGGTTTCTGTACATTTATAATAATAATAAACTTGACTGTGTTCTGTGTGTTTTCCCACAGAGCTGACATGTTTGATGATGGATCTTCAGGGATTCCCTCAACCACGGTTTAGTGACAGTAACAGGACAGGTTCCCAGGTTATAAATTCATGATGTTAATTTATGATCTCCCCACAGAGAGGTTTATATTCAAAACTAATGCGGAAGACGTTTTTCTTCCCCGACAGAGGAGCAGGTGATTCACCTGCAGACACAGGTGAGAGAGAACATTTTAGTCTGAACTAAGGACTCCCATCAAACACGGTGACCCGTCGGTGAGAGAGAACATTTTAGTCTGAACTGGTGAACATGGTGACCAGTTAAGATCGCAGTCTGTTTCTGGTGTTCTACAGGAACCATGACGGTGTCATACAGCCTGGAGGTGGCCAACGTGCGGTTCGGGGGCTTCTCCAAACTCCTGTTCAGGTGGAAGGGCAGCATCTATAAGCTGCTCTACAAGGAGCTGCTGGTCTTCTGTGGAGTTTATCTGTTTTTCAGCATCGTTTACAGGCAAATCAAAAACGTTTCCATCTTCTAGTTCACCCTGCTGCAGCTGCAGGTTTACATCTGAGTGATTGTTTCACAGGTTCATCCTGACATCAAGGCAGCAGGATCAGTTTGAATGCATCGCTCTTTACTGTGATCAGTTCACCAACAGCAACTTTATCCCGGTGACGTTTGTGCTGGGTGAGTCTGACTGACGTGGTTTAGTCTCAAAGAAGAGCAAAATCTGGAAAACCATTGTTTTCATTTCTTTATTTTTGTCTCAGGTTTCTATGTGACCTTGGCCTTCAACCGCTGGTGGGGTCAGTACACCAGCTTCCCTCTGCCCGACAACCTGATGATGGTGGTGTCCGGAAACGTGCACGGGGCGGACGAGAGGGGTCGCCTGCTGAGACGAACCCTCATGAGGTACGCAAACCTGTCGTCAGTCCTCATCCTGCGCTCCATCAGCACCAGAGTCCGCAAGAGGTTCCCCACGCTGGAGCACGTTGTGGAGGCTGGTGAGTCCGACCGTAGACCAGGTTTCTGTTCCTCTATCTGAACGACGTGTGATGATGATCTTCACTTGAAAAGGGTTCATGACCGCTCCGGAGCTGAAGAAGTTTGAGTCTCTTGAGTCAGATTTCAACAAGTACTGGATACCCCTGACTTGGTTCTCCAACCTGGCGTCCAGAGCCAGAAAAGAGGGTCGAGTGAAGGACGACATCGCTCTGAGGCTTCTGATGGATGTAGGTGACCGCACCGTCCCAGCATCCTCCCTCCTGGACATCCAGGTTAAACCAGTGTGCTGTGTCTGCAGGAGCTGAACAACTACAGAGGCAAGTGTAGCCTGCTGTTCCACTACGACTGGATCAGCATCCCTCTGGTCTACACACAGGTACTCATCAGTGGACTGCAACCAAATACAACCAAAGATCATCGACCTGCAACTGTTTTAATAGTTAATATAGTTATTATATATTACTTAGATTTGAATTTTCATTCATCTTTTTAAAATATATTTAGTGTTTCTTGTTTTTACTCCTTATCAGGTGGTCACTATTGCAGTTTACTCCTTCTTTGGCTTCTGTTTGATCGGCCGTCAGTTCCTGAACCCTGACAAGGGCTACAAGGATCATAAAATAGACCTGTATGTTCCTGTTTTCACGCTGCTGCAGTACTTCTTCTACGCCGGCTGGTTGAAGGTAACACAACACGCATTCACATCCTCCAGGACTTCAGCTACGTTCTGACAGAGTGTCGTTCCTGATCTGTAGGTGGGAGAACTCATCATTAATCCATTTGGAGAAGACGACGATGACTTTGAAACCAACAACCTGATTGACAGAAACATTCAGGTTTCACTCCTCTGGTTTTACTACAAATGGGTGCCTGTGACCCTTCACCAACTGGCCTTCTCCTCCGTCCTCTCTCCTCCAGGTCTCCATGCTGGCCGTGGACGACATGTACCAGAACCTGGCTCCAGTAGAGAAGGACAAGTGGGAAGAGAGACTTTTCTCCATTCCTTACACTCTGTCCACAGCTGCTGATGCTCTCACTCCAGTTTTCAAAGGCTCCACGTTTGACATGAGGTCAACTGATGCCGTATTTATTCCTTTAGCTTCTGCTTAAACAGAAACCACTGCAGCATCTGAGGCTAATAAATCATCTACTGTTTTTTTTTCTTAGGATGAGTGCTGAGGATCTGGAGCTTCACCAGCCTGGAGTCGCTCCGGTGAAGAGTCAGTATTTGACCCTGAAGGGGTCACTGGGTGATGGTGTTGATGGACTCCTGCAGAAGGGCAAACGTCTACTACAAAGTCGGAGCCTTCCCTCTCTGGTAGACATCCCATCATGACTGTACGAGGAGGAGGAGGAGGAGGAGGAGGATGTAGACGAAGAGGACGTCAGTACCACCGAACACAAAGAACAAGCAAGGGCTATGATCAAAGTCGTAGTGGAACATGCTGAGTGATAAAAACAGTTCCTTGTTACATTTTTGTACAAGTTCGCCAACTGTTTTCTTTTATTTTGTATTCTGTTTTTGTGGTTGTTGTAAATGATGCATTTTCAAAATAAATAATAACAGATGTTGTGGTAAATGTACAGGAGCAACAGTTTTGAACATCAGTTTCAATGAGCATAAACATGTGCATGGCATGAAAGTAAAAATAAAGGATAAATATTAAAATAAAACGTAAAAGAACGAGAACAATAACAAAAATAAAAAAGGATGTCTTCAAAAGTTTTTAAAAAAGGCCTTTATTTTGAAATACAAGCCGACGGAAAGTGTATTGGGTCAATCATCTTCCGCGTTTACAGATTCCTCAGCAATTCAAACGCCGACACAAATTTGATTTACAAGGTATTTTTTTCTCATTCTGAACTGTTAAATACATTAGTTAATCATTTGATGTAATCTTTCAACGTATATTCTCTTTTTTTGCACTTTTAGTAACTGACTTGTAAACCAAAATCTTTATTACCCTTATTTTGGCTTTAGCCTTGTTAGCGTTTGTGCTACGGCTAACTCGCTCTTCTGACGCAGAGAAAGAAGTTATTGCTCGTCATAAAAATGTTACGTAACAATTCAGACTCTGGACTCCGAGATAACTTCTGACATTGATTCGTTTTGTTAAAATTTAAACCTCTGTTAAAGGTGGAATTCTCTATTCATCTCGGTGTTGACAGGAGCATCCAGAACAGTGGGTCATATCGGCTGACAGCAGCTTTCTCATGATGCACAGCTGCTGATTCTTTTCCATCCCATCGTCCTATCCATCAACATGTCTCGGTGTGACAGCCCTCACCTGCTGCTCGGCAGGATCCGCTTCCTGAACAGGTGTATTGAGAGTTTCAGGAAAAGTGAGCTTCTACCAAAGAGTCTGTGCTATGTCCCGAGAGAGGTTTGCTACAAAATCTGCAAAGATTCCTCCTCCACGTCCTCGTCTTCGACCACAGCGTCTGCAGGAGGACCTAAAACACTGGTCTCGGTATTTGACAGTCCACACCAGGTTCCGCACAGCAAGAGGACTTGTAAATACAACGTTGAGCCAAAGAAAGGGACTTGTATCAGGACAACAGGGGAAGAATACTGCAACAGTCAGGGCCTGTGGGTGAAACTCAACAAGGTAAAACATCTGCCTTAAAATAAGTAATAAGTCAAAGTCTGGAAAAGATTTCAAAATACATAAATAATAAGACAAAATATGTTCTTTAAAAATTGGGTCTGAACTTCAGAACTTTAAGAGATTAAACCATAATCCACTATAATCCGGACATTCTAAACACTCAAGTATAAAGTCAGAACCATCAGAATATTAAAAAGCATGTATAAAGTATAGAAGTATAAAAATGATCCGATGATTATGATTAAAGTCAGAATTATGTCAGTTCTAAAATTTAGAATTTTACTGCATTTCTGTCATGATCCAAGTTTGATCAAATGACTGCTGAAAAATCCACCTCTGATATGTTATTAATGAGGTTAATGTCAGTATTTAGACAAATTGCAACTTTTTGTGACTTTTTGTGACTTTTTGTGACTGGTGACAGGAGCAGCTGGACGAGCAGCGTCCCGGTCAAGAGTTGGACGAAGGCTGGATCCTGGTGTGTAAACACACAGAGGGCGGCGACAGACTGGTGCCGGTGGAGTCTCCAGAGACGGTCAGCAGGCAGCAGCAGCTCTTTGGCTACGACCACAAGCCATGCAACAGGTGGGAGCAGGTGGTGGACGTGGAGAACGCACTTTACCTGGGGGCCAAAGCAAAAATCGCAGAGAGTGATGATGCTGCTGTCCAGAAGTTAGGGTGAGTACGGCGGTGAAATCCAAAATAAAAATGCTGTTTGTTTTTTTTACTGCAGCCGTTTGTGACGATAAACTTCAAACCTTTTAGGTATGTTCCACCCACTTGGACTTATGAGTGTGATGAGGACCTGGTACACTACTTTTATGACCACATAGGGAAGGAGGACGAGAACCTGGGGAGTGTCAAACAGTGTGTGACCAGCATCGATGTCTCCTCGTGTTCTGTGAGTCACAAATATAAAAGTCAGTGCTATGTCACTCAGAGAGAGAGAGAAGGAAAGAAAGAAAGGAGGAGAGAGTTACAGTGACCTGTAATGTCAAGTGTTTATGTGACATCAGTCAACAGTTTTCTCACAGCTGTCTGCCCTGGTTATTTGTCATCAGGAGGATCCGAGTGGAGGAGTGAGCTGTCTGACAGATGGAGACACTGAAACCTACTGGGAGAGTGATGGCATGCAGGGACAACACTGGATCCGCCTCCAAATGAAGAGAGGCACCGTGGTGAAGTCAGTACCAGTCCGACAACACAGTGTTGGGGACCGCAGGTGGTTTCCTTATGCTTAATGTGCTTCTCACTTTCATCTCCAGTAAACTGATATTGACTGTGGACTCCACTGACGACAACTACATGCCCAAGAGGATCACAGTGTATGGAGGAGAAGGAGACAACCTGAAGAAGATGAGTGATGTCACCCTAGACGAGTGAGTCTGGTTGTTCAGGTGACCTGTTGTGGAAATCATTAGCATTTGTTCAGTTTATTTATGTTTTTCATCTTCACTCTAGCAACCTGATTGGTGAAGTCTGTGTACTGGAGGATATGACATCACACCTGCCTGTCATCGAAGTGCGAATTGAAGAATGTAGAGGTAGTATCTTTGTAAATGGTTAGTGTTGTCTTGAATTTGTGGAATGGATTTTGATTGATTTCCAGTGCTTTTTCCAGATGAGGGAATAGATGTCCGGATCAGAGGTTTGAAGATCAAGTCATCATGTGAAAGGGACCTGGGGTTGAATGCAGATATTTTCCAGTCTTCTAACCTGGTTCGGTACCCCCGTCTGCAGGGCACTCCACCTGATGTGCTGTACCGGAGGGCATTAGTCATACAGAGGTAGGTTCTGGAAAACATATGGAAACCAGCATTTAGGGTGACTTTAAGTCATGTCCTTATTTGACGAGATGACATCAGGTGAGGGTCAAACACTCTGTTTGTCTCTCCTCAGGTTCATCTGTCTTCTGGACAGTGTGCTTTCACATGTAGTGCCAGCCTGGGACTACAGTCTGGGGACCTTTAACCACATCAAGGTGAGTCGCCTTCTCTCGTTTGACGCTGGTTAATAATGAGTAGTAATAATCATAAGACTGTGCCCTCCGCCCTCAGAGCATAAAGCAGTTCTTGCTGTTGTCCAAGCGTCGCTCAGCTCTCATCACTCAGTGCCTGAAGGACTCAGAGACCAGTAAACCAAACTTCATGCCCCGACTCTACATCAACAGACGTCTGGCCATGGAGCACAGAGACAACCCATCGCTGGACGCCAGCTGTAAAAATGCTGTGTTCAATCAGGTACACACCGTAATACAGGAGTAATAATAGGAGTGTTTATGTTGCAGAATATAATAGATTCTTTATATTTTTATTTTTCTGGTGTGTGCAGGTCTATGAAGGCCTCAAGCCATCAGACAAATTGGAGAAGATCCTGGATTATAGGTTTGAATTTTCTCATCTGTTAATGCAAATAAATAAATAAATGATAGAATAAATACAGAAATCAGAAATCAAATGGATATGTTTTACCCACCCTGATATCAATTGTCTCTACTGTGTGTCTTGGTGATTCATCAGGTGGCCTGCCCGCTACGACCAGTGGTGGGAGTGTAAATTCATTGCAGAGGGAATCATTGACCAGGGAGGTGGATTCAGAGACAGTCTTGCAGACATGTCTGAGGAGCTGTGTCCCAGCTCAGCAGAGTGTCCAATGCCACTGCCGTTCTTCTTCCGCACAGCCAACCAGGTAATCAGTCAATGTTTCTGCTGCACACAGTCAGGGTTGAGGACAAATAGATTTAAATCTTTCCTCACTCACCGCCAGGGCGCTCTAGAGGCCAGAGATTACTACGTCCCAAACCCGTCCTGTAAGGAGTTCCATAAGTACGAGTGGATTGGTCAGATAATGGGAGCTGCTCTCAGAGGAAAGGACTTTTTGGTGAGGCAAACTTGGAGGACAGACTTTGTCCATTATAATTTAACATTATTGTTAAAGAAAAACACACACTTTAACTTCTTCTTTGTACAAACCTGTAGGTCTTAGCTCTGCCAGGGTTAGTGTGGAAGCAGCTGACTGGAGAAGCCATCAGCTGGGGTAAAGACTTCCCTTCTGTAGACTCTGTTCTGGTGAGAACATCCAAATAGATACTCTTCTAATGTGATATTCAGTGTTTCTGTGTTTCCGTTACTTCAATCATCACCATTTTATTCTCAGGTAAACCTGTTAGAGGCCATGGAGAACATGGACAAGGAGACATTTGAGTTCAGGTTTGGAGAAGAGCTAGTTTACACTACATTGCTTACCAATGGCCAGATGGTGGAGCTCATCCCTGGAGGCAGCAACGTGGCCGTACGTTACGAGGACCGCAGTGAGTTCATCCGCTTGGTGCAGGAAGCGCGGCTCGAGGAGGGCAAGAAGCAGGTTGGTCGTCAGGATTGTTTGGCTTCATCTGAACTCTGCTACTGAAGCTATCATCCGACTGTAATCCATGAATGACCCTGTTTTAATTAAAACCATGTGGCCGACAGATTGCAGCCATGCAGGCCGGGCTGCTGAAGGTGGTTCCACAGGCGGTGCTGGACCTGCTCACCTGGCAGGAAGTGGAAAAGAAGGTGTGTGGAGATCCAGAGATCACAGTGGAAGCCTTAAAAAAACTCAGTAAGTGTCACCTCTGACAATAAGCCTATATTTGTCAGATGTATACACTTAGTTACACCTCCTAGTTAAAAACAACTCAGAGAGTATTTGTCTATAAAGATGTTTCCAGTTGCCTTAAAAGGATGGTTTGATTCTTCAAAACAGAATGTTTTTATTTCAGTGTGATTTTTCTTTCCCATCAGCACGATATGAAGACCTGGAACAGAGTGATGTCAGGGTGCAGCATTTGTGGGAAGCACTGACCAACTTTACCAATGGTAACGTCTCATAATAACGTAATAATGTTGTTTAAATCATATTATCTGTCTGAGGAAAAAAAAACAGCTTCTTTTCTTTCCTGTGCTTTCAGAGGATCGCAGCAGGTTTCTGAGGTTCGTCACCGGTAGAAGTCGACTTCCAGCACCCATCTACATATTGTCAGACAAACAGGGGTGAGCACAACCTGCACCTTTTCTTGAAAAAAAAAATCTAAAATGTGTGATTGAATGAGTTTTTTTTATTTTTTTATATTTAGCTCTGAAACGACAGATGCACTTCCACAGTCGTCCACATGTTCTAGCACACTTTATTTACCCAACTATCCAAGGTACAGTACAGTATTGTCCAGCTGCCATTTGTATGAAACTGTTTTGGGGAATAATTGCATATTTATTTCCACTGTTCTGATCCTGTTTGTTTTGTGTACCACCTGCAGTGCAGAGATATGTGAGGAGAAGTTGCGCTACGCTGCGTACAACTGTGTGGCCATTGATACAGACATGAGCCCCTGGGAAGAGTGATCTCTCTGCTGCTGCCACACTGAAAGAACTGCAATTACTACAAATCACAGATGAATGGAGGATTCTTGCCATGATTGTCACTATATCTGCAAATTAGTCTAACTGCATATAATAAAAAAAACTAAATGGTATCATGAAGAGTGTTTGTGTTTATTATTGTTTTTTTTGATATAAAAAAGTAAAAAAATACCTAACGCTGAAGCATTCAGGATAAAGTTACATACATTTTTATCTTTTGAAAAGGTAGAGTAATATATCATGTTCGATAATTGCAACCCGTATTTTAAAGTGAAAGATTTCAGCAATCGTTTGGAAAAGATCATTTTAAAAATCTAAAATATTAACATGTTATTAATTCTTACCTAATAAATACAAACGCACTTGCTCTCCAATATTATACATGATCATGTGTTTTGATTTGTAACAATTAAATTATACGTATATATTCAATGTATATTATTATTATTATTATTATTATTATTATTATTATTATATGTTAATTAAGATGTTGAATGTTTGTGTGTATCGTTCTCGTTTAGTTCTTGTTCCGGGGCATATTGGGGTTCTCGCGTGAACACGATGCTTCAAACCTACCCATGAGCCTTTACGGTTCCTCTTTCTAGCCGGCGCCTGAGAATGGGTGAGTGTTTTCATGCTCGGCTCGGTTGAAGAATCCTTGTCCATCTTGTGTTTTAACGAGGAATTAATCCCAAAATGGTCGGTTATATTGTAAATATATATTTCTTGGTACATTTTAAGCTTTGTATTTCTCAACCGTTTTCTGTAATTTTCTTTAAATGTTGCTAATTTTTTTGGCTGTTTAAGGCAAGATGGCTGCTTGTATTAGCAGCGTAGGCAGCCATGGACGTCAAAGTGTTGTTGGAAAAGTACGCCTATGTAGAATTAAATTAAATTTAGGGAAGTTTTACTTCAGTTTTACCTTTAGTCTACTCAAAATTAAATTAAATTTAGGGAAGTTTTACCTTTAGTCTACTCAGCGTTTCAGTTGGTGAATTGCTTTGGTTTGCTTTTACAGGCAGCAAGTGAGATCATTTTGCATTTTGGCTAGCATCAGTTAGCATGCTACCTCTCGCAATGGCATGCTGTTTCGTTGCTGAAAATGCTAAACTGTTTTTGTAATTGTTCAGCAGCTTTCGTAGATTTCACAAATGTGCCTTAAGACATTTAGCGGGGTTTTCTCCCGTACTCGGTTGAAAAATACGGTACTTGTGTTATCGGGGCTAATAAGGTGCCTCTTCCATGCGACAGGGGTTTAGGGTTATTCAGGAATCTGTTATAAATATTACGATAGACATGCATGCTTTTCATTAAGTGGTTTTCATTGATGCACGTGTTTTTGTCGATGGTAATCTGCTTGAGTAACATGATGATAATCCCTTTGCGGAATCCTAATGAAAATTGAGGACAACCTCTACCTTGGAGAACTGATTACTCAAGCTTAGAAAAACGTGATTCGAGTAGCCAAACTCATACGGCAAGTGTTTAATGTTTTTGTCATTTATTTCAGGTATTTCAAGGGACAACTGGCATAAACGCCGCAAGACCGGCGGCAAACGCAAGCCCTACCACAAGAAAAGGAAGTATGAGCTGGGACGCCCTCCTGCAAACACAAAGGTAATTGGAAACACGTGTTTACCTGCACAATGTTGGGAAGATGTTTTGATGCGTGTGTGATGAAAACTTGACCTTAGGTAGGTCTTTATTTGGATCGTTTTGGTTCAAAGTTACGGACTTACCAATGTTAGGGTTGTCATAGTTACACTGACACGCTGCTCATCAAATATACAGATTGTTTTATTACTAAAGTAGAGTTGATTTTTACTGTATCCCTGCATTCATATTAGACCTTTTTCACCTTAGATTGGACCTCGCCGCATCCACACAGTGAGGGTTCGTGGTGGCAACAAGAAGTACCGAGCTCTGAGGTTGGATGTTGGAAACTTCTCCTGGGGCTCTGAGTGTAAGTATCTTCAATGTCCCCTAGATCAATTAAGCTATTTCACATCTTTCTATGAGGATAATTTGTCCAGTTCTGCTACTGAATGCAAGTGGTGATAAGTACGACTCTGAGAAAGACTTACTGCATTATTTTGAATTGTAAATGTGTGCATTGAGAACTTTATTATAATTAAGTGAGCTTTGGAATGACTGTTCTTTCTTCATGCTTTTAGGCTGCACAAGAAAGACCAGAATCATTGATGTGGTCTACAATGCCTCCAACAACGAGCTGGTCAGAACCAAGACCCTGGTGAAGAACTGCATCGTCCTTGTTGACAGCCTTCCTTACAGGCAGTGGTACGAGGCTCACTACACCCTTCCTCTGGGTCGAAAGAAGGGAGCCAAGCTGGTATGTTGGGACCGGATGTACTTGATCATAACTTTGATGTACTATTGCTGCCGCAAAATTTCCAAGGCACATGCTTTGCTGCGTCTTTCCATGAAGATAACTTTGTCCAGTTCTGCTACTGATTGGAAGTGATGATAATGAAGACTCTGAGAAAGATCTGGTGTTCATAATGGCTCTGTTACTAACTGCACTGCTAAATCACCTCAAATAAACTACATTATTTTCCCTCATGACTGTAGACTCCTGAAGAGGAAGAAGTCCTGAACAAGAAAAGATCCAAGAGGACTCAGAAGAAATACGATGAGCGCAAGAAGACGGCCAAGATCAGCACCCTCCTAGAGGAACAGTTCCTGCAGGGAAAACTGCTCGGTCAGTTTCATGTCATAAGTCAAATATGTTCCAGCAGACACAATTGAAATTGTTTCAACTGTCAAAGTTTCATGTATTAATTCTGCATGATGGATGTAACAAAGTTTGATGTGTAGGGGTAGAAAGTCCACATTCTCCAACCAAAAGTCTTAAGTTGATTTAACTTGGCTCTTTGTTTTGTGCACTGTCCTGTAATTGTCTATTTTAGGACAGTCTTTTCACCTTTGTTGATAACTTACTTTTCTCTCCTGCAGCCTGCATTGCCTCCAGACCGGGTCAGTGTGGCAGAGCAGACGGCTACATCCTGGAAGGCAAAGAGCTGGAGTTTTATCTGAGGAAGATCAAGGCCAAGAAGGGCAAATAAATGTAAAGATGTTTGATATCAATAAATTCCTCTTGCCCACATCTGTTTTTGTTACTGAAAGGTTGGGGGGAAAATATTGGAGCACTTTATTAGTCCCTCGGGAGATTCCTTTGGGAAATTTAGGCTACAGCAGCAGTACAGCTACACAACAGGTAAAATAAAAACATGAGTAGCAGCACACTGTCAATGAAACTGAGAAACCTGATGTTACAAGTATTAGTAGGTAATTATTGTTGCTGTGTTAATTGCTTAAACCTCTATTATTTACTGTAATATTTCAATTATACCATTTTTAATATATATATACAGTTGCATGTACACTGAGTATACCATCTCTATGGTATGTATAATTAAGTAGAGCTTTTATTATTTTTTTGTACCAGACTGAACACAACTAATTTAATACTACTTACAATTCCAGACTACTTGCAATGTCTTTGACTAGGCCAGTGCTTTTCAATCAGTCTGGAGCGCCCTCCTGTGGTACATTATAGTATTGAACTAGCCACGTCCACTGAATTGTACTTAAAATGCTGTAACAATAGACGACTTTGCCTCTTTAAATTGTAATGATTCTTGACTACTATATAACAAGAAGCAAAAATTCAGTATATCAAAAAATAATCTAATTTATTAAGAAGCTGTATGTAGAACATTTATTCCTTACTCCTGAATCATTTACAATTACAAATTTGAGGTGTCACGTCTCCATTCTTAAACGTGTATGTATAACTTTGATCTTTATTATTTTTTTATAATCTTTGGAGGTCAGAGGTCGAGTCGACGACCTCTGACGCAGGGCTGCCTTTCCCCCAACTCCTGGCGCAGTCGCGTTTTACTGGGGAGTTTAAAGTAGGCAAAAAGTCACTCTGTTTGCGTAGTCGACCGTCACGTGTTCAAGTGTCACTGCTGTGATTGGCCGAGGAGACTTGTCTTCTTACATTGCATAAAACAGTGGTCATTTGAGGTTACTGTCAACGACGTGATACAGGAGCAGAATCATGCTGTTCAACAAGGTAAGTGAAACTGTTACAGATTTCAAACAATGTTCTACTTCTAGGAAAAGACAGGATGTCGGTGCTTGATGTTTAAGTCCGCGATTCCACCTTCCTTTAACGGCTACTTAGCAAGCTAATGCCTTCGATGAGTTTGTCATAAAGCGGCTTGTAATGCCGCAAATCACAGTGGCTTAGAGTGAATATTAGCGTATCTGATATGTCAGAAGTCGAAATAGTAACGTTTACGAACATCCGAATGATCGTTAAGTAACGCCAACGGATAACATTAGCTGCAAGACATTTGACTCTCAAGTACGACACCCCGAGGCCGGAGACAACAACGCATCGTGGGTCGAGCAAAAATAATAGGGAGCTATTATTGGTGTGGTTCAGTTGTGACTTGATGCACCTCTTTCCAGTTGGTCAGAGCTGGTGTGAGGTCCGGGATCCGGCTGCAGAGCTCCGGTGCTGCTGCAGCAGATGCAGCATCCTCCAGCAGTTCATCCCTCGGCTTCTCATTTGGTCAGTGTGCTGTTAGAAAACTTGTCATTTCATGTAAAAAGACAGTAAATGTGTTAAATCCTATAATGTTGTATCTACATATGTGCTGCTTCAACCCACAGAGCTGACAGATCAGCAGAAGGAGTTTCAGCAGCTGGCAAGAAAGTTTGCACGTGAAGAAATCGTGCCTGCGGCACCTGTCTATGACAAGAGTGGTGAAGTGAGTATCAACTAATCTTTCTGGAATATGTTTAGAAAAGGTATTAGTTCAGTCTAACCCACTGTAATTACTTTGCAGTATCCGGTCCCCATCATCAAAAAAGCCTGGGAGCTGGGATTGATGAACAGTCACATCCCACAGGAATATGGTGCGTGGGTCCATGTCATTGGCTACTGTAGAATTACTTATTGTTATTGGAAAAAAGTCTTGACTAATGAATCAATAACCTTTGCATAATTTCAATACTTCTGTTAGAATAAAAGTAGGAGAGCCATAAGGCCAGTAAGTTAGAGATTTGATATTTTAGTTTCCTAGTACATGTGATCTGAAATATTGCAGCAGTGAAAATAATTATGCAACATCTGTATATGTGTCATCAGGTGGAATGGGCCTGTCAATCTTTGACAGCTGTCTCATCACTGAAGAGCTGGCTTATGGCTGCACTGGGGTCCAGACTGCAATAGAAGCAAACTCTTTGGGAGTAAGTTCTGGGTCCTTAATAATCTTTAATAAAACGTTTTCACTCTGAATGGCAGATTTATTGTCATTTCAACATGTTGGTGTACGACTAAGATTCTTCTGTCTCACACAGCAAATACCAGTTATTCTCGCTGGAAATGAGATGCAGAAGAAGAAGTACCTGGGCCGAATGACGGAGGAGCCTCTGATGAGCGTATGTAAACACACGTGTTCTCCATACCTCCAGAAAATCAAGTTTGACAGAAACTACAGACATTATAGTTACTACATGTTTTTGCGTTTTGTCACAACTGACTCTCAGGACTGTGTGGTTTGTTCTTCAACAGGCGTATTGTGTCACAGAACCCGGGGCGGGTTCTGATGTGGCGGGCGTTAAAACCCTAGCTGTGAAGAAGGGGGATGAGTATGTGGTCAACGGGCAGAAGATGTGGATTACAAATGGCGGAAAAGCCAACTGGTATGTACTCCTAAATACACAGATTATGTAATATGGTTTGTTGTAATCTGTACTGAAGGATTGTAATAGATTACTGTAGTAATATTGTCTTCACAAATGAACACACATGATTTGTTTGTGTTTTAATTCTCAGGTACTTCCTCCTGGCTCGCACGAACCCTGACCCTAAATGTCCAACATCTAAGGCTTTCACTGGCTTCATTGTAGACGCAGACACTCCAGGAGTTCAACCAGGGAGGAAGGTGAGAGGAGTCATGTGGGTGTCTGTTCTAAAATAGATGTATGACACAATTTAACACAAGGTTAATCAGGAGACAGACATGGAACACAGGCACACGACACAAGACAAACAGCAGCTCAAAGAATCAAGGCATCAGCATTGCTATAGGTGCTACATTACTAGCCTCTGTGTTTTCTTTTTAGTCAGTAGATGGTTAAACAGAGGCTGAAAGTGTTTCCTGTCAAATACCCTGGGAGCAGGAAGTATTAATACAAATATTTGATCATAAGGCTTTAACATTCCTTTAACCTGAGACAGCAGCAGTTAATGAGGATAAGTCAGCAGACGGTAATATGTGTCTCGCTTTGTTGTTATGCTCACAGGAAATGAACATGGGTCAGAGGTGCTCTGACACCAGAGGCATCACCTTCGAGGATGTGAGGATACCCAAGGAGAACGTCCTGATCGGAGAGGGAGCTGGCTTCAAAATTGCCATGGGGGCCTTCGACAACACAAGACCACCGGTATGTCCACCACTAGCTGCGTAGAATCTGCAGAGTCTCTGGCTTTTCCTCCTCTTACGTCTTAGAGTGTTTCAGGGTGAATGTACTGATGCACTGTGATGTCACTGCAGGTGGCTGCAGGGGCAACAGGATTGGCCCAGAGAGCCCTGGATGAAGCAACCAACTACGCCCTGGAGAGAAAAACCTTTGGCAAAGTTATCGCTGAGGTTTGTTTGAATGTTAACATTTAGGATTTTGTGAAAATAAATTTAAGTAGTATGTAGTGTTAGGGCTGTCGAACAATTGAAACTATAATCTGATTCCTATCACAGTGTAACCGTAGATTAAACCTGATTACTCAAACTTAATCGTGATCATTCCTTCTGCTGCTTCACAGCACCAGGCCATCTCCTTCCTTCTGGCAGAGATGGCTATGAAGGTGGAGCTGGCCAGGATGGCCTATCAGAGATCAGCCTGGGAGGTGGACCAGGGCCGCAGGAACACATACTTCGCCTCCATCGCCAAGGCCTTTGCTGGAGACATAGCCAATCAGGTGGCTTCTGATGCTGTGCAGGTCTTTGGAGGCAATGGTTTCAACAGTGACTATCCAGTAGAGAAGCTGATGAGGGATGCTAAGATCTACCAGGTGATTGACTACTCTGTGCATGTCATCTGAAAACAGTTTTTATTTTGGTCTTTTCCCCCGACATTTACTTATTTTTATGTTTTTCAGATTTACGAGGGAACAGCTCAAATCCAAAGACTCATCATTTCCCGAGAACATCTTGGAAAATACATGAAATAAACTCTTCACATCTGACTTGTACTCTGTCAGAACCTTTTAATCTCTGTGATGGTGCCTCTAACTTGCTGAATTTAGTTTTCCTCTGAGATGACATGTAATCTTCTTTAAATGAATGATTATATAATGAAAGTGACATGACCCACGTTCATCTTGAAATTGTAAATACCTTAAGTTTTGTGTTTAGTGCTAACACGTTTTGTACTGCATTTGGTTGGGCAATAAAATAATCATTTATGGTACTTACTTTTTTTAAAGTTTATAATTTTCTTTCTATGTTATTCTTTGCCAAATAATATGATTTAATTAAATCAATACAATAACAATAAGTGATGACATTTAAATCATTTTATTCGAAAAAATATTAATTCTCAAATTGCATTTTCAAGTAAAATAGTCTTTGTTGTAGTATTAATGTTTGATTAATTTCACTCAAACCTTCCGCTCTCAAAATACTGACAGAGGTTACCGCCCCAGAGCAGCAGGGGGCAGTATGAGTCTTACATGCCCATTGTAACCTTTTCAAACGGAAAACGGTCACGCTTCACCGGATACAGCAGACTTCGTCACCGGCAGAATGGTGAGTTACGTAGTAATTTGTCCGTTGAATTAAAATATTTCCAATAAATGGCATCAAAACTGACCGAAATATAATCCTAGGTTGTACTCAAATGCAGCCGTTTGACAGCTATGTCGTTAGCATGTAGGTTGTGTTTAGCATAGTCCATGGATAGGACTGTCCGTAAACAACTGTACATATTAAGTAGCATTATTGAATTAGCCATAATGTTCAGTAGTTCTGGATGTTATGTAATGTTGTCATCATTGACGGGAGGGGGACTAAACGGTTGTCGATGTTATAATCGTTGTTATATCGTATGTTTTTAAATGTTAGGGAACCCAAGTGAAGGATGTCACCATCAAACCCGACGCTCCCAGTTCGCTGATGCTGGACAAACACGCAGACTATATTGCTGCCTATGGCTCCAAAAAAGATGACTACGTAAGTTTATTTTATTATTTTATAAATATGTACATTCTTTGTATAAAGACGACCTTGTCAATATATCGTGATCTAAAAACAGCCAGAGTTTAAATTAGTGCTAAGGTCAAGGTTGGATCTATGTCTTCGTTAGTATACCCTCCACCCTATAACAAACGTAATACAAATATTTACTTCTAAATTTATTTTCTTATTTTACTGCAAATACTGTTTAATCCAACTATTTTTAGCCTTAACTGTAGCTTTAAAGCATATACAAACATTGAGAGTATTGTTAATTTACTAGTTAGAGGTCAAAGCAGAACTGTTGTCCACAGATTTGTGACCTCGGCTATGTTAACTCACACTAATACACACTTTAAATTTTTGTCCTTAAATGTAGGAGTACACACTGTCGGAGTACCTGCGGATGAGCGGCATCTACTGGGGTCTGACAGTGATGGACCTGATGGGTCATCTGCCCCGTATGAACCGCAACGAGATCATTGACTTCATCAAAGCCTGTCAGCATGAATGTGGAGGCATCAGCGCCAGCATTGGCCACGACCCTCACCTGCTCTACACACTCAGTGCCGTCCAGGTAGGAACGGACACGTTTTCCAAGAAACAGAAATCATAAATTCAAATTTGGGAATTCATTTAATTCACTTTTTCGGTTCATTTCATCTTTTCATTTCACCTGCTCCTGTTGTACTAAGACCAGCATTATTTACTAGACGCTGATCAAGTCAACACAGGTCTAATAATGTGGTTCTCTTTTTAGCTCCGTGTTACCAACCTCATATTTCTATTTTTAATTGCGTCCATAGATCTTGTGCTTATATGACAGCCTGGAGTCCATCGATGTGGACAAAGTGGTGGCGTACATCGTTGGGCTGCAGCAGGAAGATGGTTCATTCGCAGGGGACAAGTGGGGTGAGATAAGTTTACTCTCTCCCATCCATCAAACCCAGACTTCCATCAGTATTATATGATAAAGTCTGTGTTTGTTAACAGGTGAAATAGACACAAGGTTTTCTTTCTGTGCTGTGGCTACACTGGCATTACTGGTAAGTTTATGACTGTTGTGTGGTTGGTGAAATACATGGCAACAATCTCCCTCACATCCATCCATAACTCTGTTTTTTTTTTCATCATTCAGGGGAAGATGGATAAAATAGATGTTGACAAAGCTGTGGAGTTTGTCTTGTCCTGCATGAACTTCGATGGTGGTTTTGGCTGCAGACCCGGGTCAGAGTCTCATGCTGGTCAGGTGAGTCTGGTCATGAGTCGTGATTCCTAACAAAGTCAACCTAGGGGCAAATGTGACAGTTAAAGGTAAAAAAACCACAATAATGGTTGTCTTACACAGAGAAAATTGGTTTCAGTGTGTTGTGAACTGTAGGTATGTGAAATGTATTCACAGGTTTGTTAGGTCACAGATTTGGATTTTGATAAAAATTTAAGATCACGATATCTTTAAGATTTTTATTGATGTGCAAAAAACAGAAATTATTTTTATTGAATTTAAAAGTACATGATTATTATCATTACCCTCCTCTGTCAGATTTACTGCTGCACTGGTTTCCTGTCGCTCACTGGGCAGCTGCACCAGGTGAACGCTGACCTGCTGGGCTGGTGGCTCTGTGAGAGGCAGCTGTCGTCTGGAGGTCTTAATGGACGACCTGAGAAGGTGGGAAATCCGTTTGTGTTACAAGGAAGAGGAGCAGCCTCAACAAAGTTCACACCTAAACACTGCTCCTGTTTGTGTGTTCTCTGCCCCTCGCAGCTGCCAGATGTGTGTTACTCGTGGTGGGTGTTGGCTTCACTGAAGATCATCGGCAGGATTGACTGGATCGACAAGGCCAAGCTGCGGAGGTTCATCCTGGCCTGTCAGGACGATGAGATGGGAGGTTTTGCTGACCGACCGGGAGACGTGGTGAGCTGTAGAGACTGTATTGTTGACAATATTTTCCTTCTCTGTGTCATCACTGTCTGTTTACCGCTCCTCCTCCTCCCCCTCAGGTGGATCCGTTCCACACACTGTTCGGAATCGCAGGTCTCTCCCTCCTGGGGGACGACCAGATCAAGCCGGTCAACCCGGTGCTGTGTATGCCTGAGGACGTCCTGCAGAGGAACGGGGTGCAACCCGACATCCTCAGCTAACTAACACTTTGACGCCGTCTGTTCGACTCTACACACTCATGAACACATGCTGCCCTGCTTAAGTCCCTCCACCGGATGTTGAGAACCTGAGATTGGCCTCCACGTGCTGTGGTGTAGCGTTCAGACATGTTTCAGATGAAGGCTTCACTGTTGACAACCAGAGCAACACAACCATCATCACAAACGTCTGAGTCGAGGCAGAAGGATGCATATCTCCAGGTGAACAGTTTGAGACGGTCCCTTACTTGAGCTTCTAGTTCAACCCTGAATGGACTATTGTGTTTTCAAGTCATGGGTTCACAGTGAGAGAAAATGATAAGGCTGACTATTATTGGATGTACAATCATGGCCTGGTCTTTTTCAAAGGTTAGAAATTATGACAAACATTCCTCTACTTTGAATGACTGTAACTTCTTTTGAAATGAAATCCAAAACTGCTATATTTTTTTTTTGCTCTCATCATTTTTAGTTACTCAGTCTCTCAGTCTTTTTTTTTCTTTCTTTTCTGTCCACTATTTTCATATTTCTCAGAAACGTACAGATTGGTGATGAAGTGCAGAATTCGAAGTCAGGATATGTCTTTGTTACTGATGAAGCCAGTGAAGTTACACTTGCTACCGTGGACTTTTATTTTGAAGAGCTGTACAGGAAGGAGAACATGCGACGGCGTTGTTTTCTCTTTGACGTCATTTCTTTCTTTTAGTTTTCTCCACAGACTCATTGTTGACATGATCGTGATGTTTACTGTATGTTTGGTCACCCCTCAGTCAGTGCTTCAGACTCAGGCTGATTTAACACCACCGTCGCCCTGATGATGTCATTCAACCACATACATTATTTTCAAATAAATTAACAACAAAAAATAAATAAATCAGGACTTGGGTCAAACTCTGTCTCTGGTCCTGGAGTGAAGTACTACATCTTGGTAGAAGGCAACTTGGTCTGTGTTAATTTATGGAACCAAGATGCTTCTTCAGTTTCGACTACTACCACAATTCACCACTGGAGGGCAGTAATACACAAAGCTCATCGAATCTGATTGCGTTGAATATGTTAAAACTAAAAAACAATAGCTTTGAAATACTATACGATGTGAAATAAATATGATTATATTTAATATTAAACATTAAAATTAAAAAATATTATGAAATCCTAGTTACGATCTTAACTTTTAGTATTTTTATCTGCTCAGAATATATATGCACACACTTCTTTTGGATTTCTTTACCGTTTTAATTGTTTTAAATGTGTTAGTAGCTTTTTTTTTCTCTCTTCCTCTACAATCTTCTGAATGAACCCAGAAAGGCATCATATTTTTAACCTGTGTAATATTCTGGGAACAGTGTGTACCTGCCGTCTTGGAGTACTACTGCAGTATTTATTCGTGTATTTATGTTGTCGATGGGGGAACAATAATCCGCGGTCCCTCCGGTGTCTGAGTTCAGACAAACATGCCGCTTGATCGGCTGCTGAGAAACCCCACCGGCTCTCATTAGT